GGTTTCGGCTCTGCCCTCCAGGCAGTTTCCTTGGTGCTCGGCCGCCCCCAGAGGAGGGAAGGAGGAGGAGGAGGAGGAGGAGGAGGAGGAGGCGGAGGAGGAGGAGGAGGAGGAGGAGGAGGCGGAGGCGGAGGAGGAGGAGGAGGAGGAGGAGGAGGCGGAGGAGGAGGAGGAGGAGGCGGAGGAGGAGGAGGAGGAGGAGGAGGAGGAGGTGGAGGAGGAGGAGGAGGAGGAGGAGGCGGAGGAGGAGGAGGAAGGAGTGAAGGATATGGGGTCTTGAGGCGACGGGGTGCGCCGGGCGTGCCAGCTGCGTGCAGCGGCTTCGCGCCCCCTCCTCTGCTAGATTCCTTTCGGGTGTGTCCCTGGCCCAAGGTGCACCCAGGAGTGCCAGGGAGCCTCCAGAGCACACCTCACGAGGCCCCCCAAGAGGCTTCAAGTGGCTCAAAGAGCTGGGATGCCTTGGGCCAGGGACACCTTTGGCAACCTCCAACCCTTCCGTTTTCCTCGAGCGATTCCCACGGCGTCGCCGCCGTCGCCGCTGCGGCCTTCGTCGCCGTCGTCGCCGTCGCCGTCGTCGCTGCCGCCGTCGTCGTCGCCGTCGCCCTCGTCCTCGTCCTCGTCGTCGCAGGAGCCACTGCCACTATGGTCGCCGTTTCCGCCGCCGCCGTCAACGCCGTCAACGCCCTTGTCCTCGTCTTCTTCCTCTCCGCCTGCAGTCGTCCTTCTTGCCGTTTATATCGTCGCCGTCGCCGTCGCCGTCGCCGCCGTCGCCGTCGCCACCGCCGTGACCGTCGCCGTCGCCGTCGCGGTCGCCGTCGCCGCCGCCGCCGTCGTCGTCGTCGTCGTCGTCGTCGTCGTCGTCGTCGTCGTCGTCGTCGTCGTCAGCTTTCGGCGCTGTGGTGGCTTGTGCCTCCTCGGCTTTCTGGCGGGCGTCCCGGCCAGCGGTCGCGCCGCCAGGTACACCTACTACGTGCACGCCTCCAGCGGGCAGTCGCGGTGGACTCGCCCAGATGAGGAGGAGACGGACACGTCGAGTAGCGAGGGGCAGGGCAGCTCGTGTCGTGTCGATCCCTCGATCCCTCGCATCCTCGATCCCTCGCCCCTCGACCCCTCGATCCTCGATCCCTCGAACCCTCGAAGCTTCGACCCCTCGAACCCTCCATCACTCCCCCCCCTTGTCGCGAGGAGTTCCTGCGGCGCCTGTCGAGGCGGACCGCGCGGCCGCCGATCCCCGGCAGTCGCCTCTTCTTCGCCGCCGTCAAGGAGCGGAAGCACAACGCCAGGCGCGCGGAGGGCAGGGCGAGCTGGCGAAGGCTTCCGAGGGCCAGCGAAGGCCGCCGAGGGCCGTCGTATGGCGCCAGACACAGGGGGGAGGAGGAGGAGGAGGAGGAGGAGGAGGAGGAGGAGGAGGAGGAGGAGGAGGAGGAGGAGGAGGAGGAGGAGGAGGAGGAGGAGGAGGAGAGGAGGAGGAGGAGGAGGAGGAGGAGGAGGAGGAGAGGAGGAGGAGGAGGAGGAGGAGGAGGAGGAGGTGGAGGAGGAGGAGGAGGAGGAGGAGGAGGAGGAGAGGAGGAGGAGGAGGAGGAGGAGGAGGAGGAGGAGAGGAGGAGGAGGAGGTGGAGGAGGAGGAGGAGGAGGAGGAGGAGAGGAGGAGGAGGAGGAGGAGGAGGAGGAGGAGGAGGAGGAGGAGGAGGGAGGAGGAGGAGGAGGAGGAGGAGAGGAGGAGGAGGGGAGGGAGGAGGAGGAGGAGGAGGAATCAGGAATCAGGAATCAGAACAGTTGCGAAGCAACATCCACGAGAGAAACACTCACTCCGAGCCTTGTGACTTCGGTGGGAGACCTCTCAAAAACCGATCGATATACTCCCGTCGGGTGCGAGTGATCAGATCGGGACGGCACGGGTTGGCAAGGGATCGGAGCTGGTCCTTCCCATACGCCCCACATTCCCTGCACAACCATGCACGCACTGTCTGGGAAAAAACCCTTCTGTGAGACTCATGAGCCCACCCCCCGCCGACGTGGACCCCACACCCTGATCCAGGACGTGACAGCACATCATTAATGAAATGGGGCATCTCACAGACAGAAACAAGCCAGGCCGTCCGAGCGGCCTTCGAAGACGACGAGAAACAGCGAGAGCAGCGCGCGCCTGACTCGTCCAGCACGTGCCCCGTGCTGAACGTGGCGACGGCTGCGGCCGAGGGCGGCCGCGGGGGGGGGGAGGAGGGGGAGGAGGGGGAACATCTCCTTCACCGACCTGCGGGGCGGAAGGATGACGATCAGGCCCAGTGTTTCGCTCAGCCATAGCAGCAAGCTGGGCCCTCATAAGTCTCTTCCGAACCAAAGCCGCTTTCCATTCGATGTCCCGTACCCTCGCCCTCTGCCCTTCAGCGACTCTCCACTCCTTTGCCGTCTCTCCAGCAATCCCATCGGCAACAGCGTTGCCAAGCAAAAAATGAAAGGGTACACCTCTCTCTGACGCTTCGGCGGTGTCGAGATGAGACGGCACCCAGATCACGGTGATGAAAGACGGGTCACGATTCTCCAGAAGCTTCCCGATCTCCCTCCAGATAGGACCTAACTCACCTTGCGGGTTCCGATAGGCTCTACTGTGCCACCCATCTACAACAGCACGATTGTCTGAAACGTAAATTAGCACCCCGATACTGAAACGTATAGCCACCTCGAGGCCACGCAACTCTCCTCGAGGAACAGTCTGAATATCTCCGACAAGTGGTCCTGACAAGGAGGGCCCGATAACTAGAGGCTCATAGCTCCTAAGAGAGACAACCGAGAGCCCCACACGCCTAAGATGCTCGTCACGAGACTCGGGCCCCCCAGACGCGTCCCCAAAGAGGACCAAGGGGGCCTCCCAAGAGCCCGCACCTAAGCACCCAAGGCCTATGGAGCCCTCTGGGGTCCCCAAGAGCTTCCAAGCCTCGACCTGTGGTGGTGGGTCCACGACCGTCCACTGCTTGGGAATGATGCCGCGATACCAAAAGCACGGTGTGGCATCTCCCTGCGAAATAGCTTGGCAAACTAGCTGGTCTGTTTCTTCAAAGACAGGGTGACCAGTGTTGCACTTGCACAGCCAGTACCTATGCCGAGGGGTTTCTGGCGCTTCATGACATCTTGCACAAGTATCGTCCGTGATGAGACCTTCTTCTTTTCTCCGAGATAATGGCCAGGAACCCCCGACACAAATATTCAAAAGGACTTCAGCCAACTGACGTCCCTTCTTGACTGTCTCCGGCCGCAAGAGAAGGGCACGCAGAGATCGATTGTCAGCGCCGCCTGCGAGTCCCTCGCCACAAAAGTGCCGTGCAGCATCCTGCCACAGGAGGCTGGCGTTGGCACAAGCAAAATCACTCAACATGTCCTGGGCCTGATCTATCGACTCGAGCGACTCGTTAAACTGCCAATCGAAGTTAATTCTATCGTTAGCCTCAGGAACATGCCAAAGATCGGGTGCGACTGGGTCCCAACCGACACGAAGAAGACTGGCCACGACTGCGCTCAAAGGCCCACGAACGTGGCGAGCAAACTCGGGTAGCTTCAGCGCCTTAAATTGCTCAACTGTGGTAGGCCACGCACGCCGAATACCCGATCGATACTGAGAATCATAAATCCAAACCTTCATCCACTCCTTCATAGTTGCTACTGGAAGGCTAATACCAGGATCTCGACCAGGAGTACGAATATCTAGTAATGAAGTAAGGCACCTACCCTTCTTCGACGCACCTACAACCGAGCCAAGCCGTCGCCGTAAAGTCAAAAGCTGCGTGCCGAACGCACCATACACCTGCATGCCGTAGGTGGATACTGCCTGGGGGCCTGCGAGCTCGACTTTCTTAGTGACCTGATAGCGCCGTGCTGCATGTGCATACCGCCGAAGTTTCTGGTTTTGCGTGCCCCCTTTGATCACCCTCTGCCTCCTCGTCTGCCTGGCTAACCTCTTACACATACCTTGATCCACTCCTAAGTAGGCTGCTTGCAAGACGGACTGCACATCAATACCTCGAAACTTCAATTGTCTGACTGCTGTCTTTGCCGTGCCGTGATGCGGGCACAGGATGACGCTCTTGCTGGCCAGCTGGAGTCCGTGCTCCCGAAACTCGGCGGCAGCCGTCGTAACACTGGTAACGAGCTCAATCAAAACCTGCTTCTGTGACCCCACTGTGGACATGCTCAAGTCGTCTATCCAAATGCGCATGCGCTCGCTCATGCTCGGGTTGGCTATCGTCAGCTTCTGCAACACATAGTATGTCATACATCGTGCGAGCCGTGTGCCACTGCGCAAACCTTGTACAACACTTCGTGTAGGCTGAAAGCATTCCGAATAGGCGCCAAGTTGAGAGAGAACACGTGGGGCAAGACAAACTTGGAGTTCGAGAAACAAGAGGACGGGAGGGAAATTGAGGCGTAGGGCAGCGTGAATGAGTTTCGGCCAGCTGATCTGATCATAGAAGCTCTTAATGTCAATAATAGAGGTGCCCACAGTACCGCCTAGCTTGACCGCAAGCTCACTGTCCAAAACGCGAATGAATGCTTCCCTGAGTGCACTGTTACCTGCCACCGCCGCATCCCAAGATGGCGAGGTATCTGATGTCCACGCCTTCGCATGAACTTCACGAGCAAGACTCCACACCCGACAGAGCATGGCCACTAGCCCGATGACTCGATCGCCCCCGCTTTTCTTAGCAAGTAACCTACCGATGACGATCAAGGATTGCCATGGCCAGGTAAGGGAGGCCTCGATAGCGGAGAAGAGGTTCACGAGATCTTCGATGGCACAGTCGGGGAGTCTTTCAAAGTCGAGTGGGGATAAGCGATCGATACCCATCCCAGCACGAGCCTTCATACGTTTGAGAGCCCCTCGGACGTCGTCGACTGTCAACGGAGGCATCTGATAAAAAACTGCCGCATCGCGCACTTGGCCTAGGAGAGCGTCGAGCTCCTTCAAATCTAGATCAACTTCACGCCATAAGCTGTGCCAGCCTTTTACTTTGGCGTCGATGAGATCCTTGGGGTTGAAAAGCCTAGTGCCTGCCACGACGAGCTCCTCCGAGGCCTGGGGAACCTGCCTGAGCGACTTGTGGATGATACCTAGAGACGATTCTTCCACGATCCACTCCTGGAAATCCCTCAACGACGCGTGGACCGCTCTCCCCCTCGCTCTTCTGGAAGCCTTCTGGGCGAGGTCCCTGTACTGCTCCAAAATCGGTAAGTCCCAAGACTCCACCTGCCCCAAGAAGCTAACCCATTGAGACCAGATCGGTGCCCCATGAGTACTCGGGATGACCGTATGAGCCCCATCAGGAACATCATGAACCAGAACACGACAGATATGAGCCAACTTGGGGACCTGTTCCACCCCATTGCGCCGTTGCCTATGACGAGCGAGACGTACCAGCACTGTGTGAAGCCTAGCCCACCATCCCGCTATGACGTCGGACAAAGGCTGTGCTCTCATGTGCTCTGCGCGCTGCACCGCCTCAACTGTCAAAAAAGGTCCTTCTGCTCGCGGCCGCCCTGCAGCAGCGGACTCGTGCTGCTCAAGAATGGCGGCTTCGGCGATACTCACCCATGTGGCGAACATTCCACTGACAGCTTGAATGTGAGGGCCCCCTGCAGAGTAAGCTAAAGACGCACGGATGACTTCCCAAACATCAGACTCGTGACAAGTGATGTATCCAATCCTGTCTTTGTGCTTCTCCCAGAGGTCAGCCGAGATGTGGAAAGAGGGAGAATGGGGAGGATTGGGACTGCCTACAGTGCTGTCACCGTCCTGGGGGGGGGTGCGGGGGTCTCGGCGTGGGGGGCTGTCTCTTTTATCTCAGCGGGCGCAGGAACCCTAGGAACCGACTGATTGCCAAAAACCGACTCGTGAGCCCATGGGTCAGGCTCGTCTTCAAAATCGTCGGGAGGCTCGAATTGGAAAGGATCTTCTTGAGTCCGTGTTTCGCCCGAAGGACCGCCTTGGGCCCCTGAGGCCTCTGAGGCCTGGGGAGCCGACTGGTCCTGGGACGAATCCTGGGGCTGCTCGACATTCAGCAAATCTCAGAAAAACTGAACGCAAGCATCCTGAAACTTAGCTTGAGACAGCTCACGAGCCTCTTGACGGGCCCGTTTGGCTTTCTGCGATTTACTATTGGCCTGGGGAAGAACACTTGGCCGTGAAACCTGAGGGAGCTTGTGAGGTACGTGTAAAACCCTAGTGAGAAGTTGCACCCCTTCGCTCCTTAAAGACAGACTGATCCCACAGTGCGTGCCCCAAGGAACGTCT